AAATAAACATACTTAAGTCATACAATATATATATTCATATATAAACCCACATATGTAAATATTTACACATACATGTATATGTTTCTATACATATATTTCCCAATGCAAATAGTTTAATTTTATTCCCAAGCATAACATTGAGCAATAAAATCACATTCTTTCCTGCACTGGATAATCACGTGTCACTTTAATCCTGGTATCAGGTAAAAGCCTTAAATTATTGATTATTGTCCTTTAACAGAGTATTGTATATATTAATGGTAGGAATAATTTTACAGATTATATAAACCCTCGCTTGATCAGCATAGGATTACTCTCTAAAGGCAATTCTTCAGTATTTTATCCTGGTTAAATTTGAGCGTCCCTATAATTGATTTTACATCCCTTGCTTCAGGCTGCATTTCACTGCTAGTGTTCAATGTATCTTCAAAACTATTTGTTCTGATGTTCAATATAAATATCCTTTTCTTATGCCACTGCTTCACATACCTCATTCTCGGTCCTTACTGGAGAGACAAAAGCTAGACATCTAATTACCCAGGACCCTCTTAGCAGCCAACGGAGAGAAATAAGTAGCTCCAGAGGATGCACAGGTTGTATGTGAAGGTTCCTGTTTTCGACGAGAAATGAGTTGAATCTGGGTCTGAAATATCATCCCCCTCCTTTAAACAGTAATAGATTATTATCTTGTGATTTAATGCCTCAACCTGCAGACATCTGCAAAACAAACACATATTATGACTGAAATTCCAGATTTTTTCCAACATCACTTCTGTTGCATTTCTCTAGAGTATTTCCAGTTCTCTAATATACTTTTAGTACCACAGCAACCTTAAATTATTACAACTCCTAGGGCATACCAGCAAAAGCATATTTAGAAATGTCACCAAACATGAAAAATGTTACTTTGCGTCCATTTTACATTCTAAAATCATATCTAACTTTGCATTTTACGAAGTGTGTGAACTAAGCAAATGTACTTTTTCGGGAAATATGAAGTCCCCATGTTATTTCCTGGACCTGTCTGGTTCTCACACCACCTCTCATCTTCATGTCTGTGAACTTCATTTGTATCTCATTAACTTCTTCCTCTATGCACAAAGTAAAACCACACCGTCTCCTGCAGCCCATGCCAACAGGGAGCTGTTGGAAGTCCTCTTACTGAGGATTCCTCTTTGACTACCCTCATTAGCAGAAGACACCTGTCAATTCAAGAGCAAGTGCTCTGGATGTTTCTGAGCTACATTTCGCATGCATGTTGACCCTGATTTGTCTTTTGTTTCCTACAGATGGTTTAAAAGATGACTGAGTCACTGAGGAGACACCAGGCAACGGGTGTTAGCTGTGGGAAGCAACTCCTTTGCTGTATTTTGACTCATGGGACGTGCACATTAACACACTACCCCTTATTCAAAGTAGGGCTAGTTGATCAGCATAGTCTGAGTTGTGTTTTGACACTATTTCTGCCTTTCCTCATTTGTTATCTAAGAATTCACTTGGCAGCAAGATGTGGCCAGTAACCCCAATGGGTTTAAACTCTCATCAGTACTTCCATGCCAAACTACAAATGAAGGTATTAAGACTGAGCAGATCAGAAATAAAGCACTTTCTAATCAACAGAAATGTGCTTCTTTATTTAATGTCCTATTTTAAATAGCCAACTTTTTATTCTCTTACTAGCAATGGATAAAATGCTTTTATGAGTGGTAAAACTGTAAATGAGGCAATGTGGCTTGATCCTAAAGCAGTGAACTATTGCAGGCCTGGCTTTTAAGCCAAGACATAAAGCTCCTATTAGGCAAAAAAATCATTATCTTTCAAAAAAACAGTGGCGAATACCTGGTCTGGCAGCACAACTTTCTTCTTGATAAGGACTCAACACTGTTAGTAACTAAAGGTCAACATAACCTTAAGGGTCCATAAGACCACACCTTAGCACATACCTCATCTGTCTTCAGAGCCTACAAATATTTACACATTTAATGTTAAGTTTTTAGGGGTTTAGTGACCACAAGTTAATAGTCAAAGGGACTGCTCACATGACTGGAGTTAAGCCTCTGATTATGTGTTTGAACTGTCAGGACTTTGCACATCTTTTGTTCTACTGAAATTGATAAAGGCAGTCTTTTCTGGTGCTTAAGTTAGAAATCCTAAACCTGTTTTCCACTGAATTTTGTCATAAGGACATTTGACTTTTCAAGGCTGGTCAGTGTACATGTGCAGAAGCAGAAACGTCACATACAGTAATTTAAAATGCTGAGATAATCAAAATGAAGATGACTGAAAAATTATAAAGTAGGGAAGTAAACCGAAGACCTCACAGAAGTGAAGGAATTAAATTTACTATTACTGTGAATAAGTCTGTATGACCTTCAGCAGAAAAAGAATATAATATAGGTGATTTTTATTATTGGAGAAAAACATACCAAGTGACTACTCATAAAAATGGCATTTATTTTGGCGCTCATGACCTGTCTATGCTTGCTTTCAGTAAGCAGTTCAGTTACACTACAACTAATGCACATAAACCCCATAGTTTCAAGTTTGCTCAAGTACTGTCCAATAGAAAATTCTGGATTTGTGCAGAGAAATACTTACTTCCACAGCGTATATTTTAGATGAGAAGAAACACTGTTGACACAGCTGAAAGGGTGATGAAAATCAGATACACAAGAGTCAGGTAATTAAATGAGTACAAGAAGGATTTCTCTGTACCCTTTATAACTATGGCAGCCTCTCTGCCTCCAGTTGCTATGTGATAATAACAAAAAATATGTGGCTGTACTAAATACTCATTACCTACAAATTCTGCTTTTCCACAGAATTCTTCATTGAACAAGCCCAGTGCTTAAGGGGAGAAAAAAATACCCCAAAATCTCTTTACTTATCCCTAGCCTAAGATTTTAAAGATTTTTGCCTCGTCACGATAGACACATCAATCCATTATCATTGAAGGAAATTACACATATATTGCAGAACTTTTACATATAACAGAACTGCCAATGCAGTGTCAGGGGACACAAAATGCATTCTTAAACAAAACATTTTCCTAAGTGTTTTTCTCTAGTGTGGATAAGTCAAAAGAAAACAACTCCACAGGATCTTTGTGACTGAGAACTATAAACTAAGAGCTCACATTTCCAGTGCTATTAAACAGTCCCGTGCAAATGTTTATTATTAATTCATAAAACCTAAAAGTAATGTAAAAAACCTGGCTGAGCTGCTACTTTGCTCATTGATTTTCCAGAGGTAAAAAAAGGGAGGGTCTTTAACAACTGGACCATTTTTCAATGATTTAATCATCTGGTTTATTTGACCTTCAGCTTGGTTATATATACCATTTGGCTGATTAATCAAAGATCAAACAGTTAACAATCTAAGACCTGTACTGTACAAACAATTAAATAAATGATCTCAGACTACAATGGAACTGCATCCAATACTTTCCAGAACTGGGTGCTTGTTTAAGACGCAATTTCATCAGTTGACCAGAAACACAAGTGAAAACGGAGAAGTAAAGGAGAGCAAGATGGTAAGTGATAAATTCATGGTGGTCTTTTAGCTGGTAATGCATCAGTCATGCTGGTGGACAATCTACTTTTAACCCTCGATTCTGCAATACAGTGCACATAAGCCTTTTCACCTATAGTTATACAATTTAAAGTGATGATAAAGCTTCTGTAAGACTTTCATAAAATCTGAATTTGAATGAAAGCCCCATTAAAAAAAAAAAAAAAAAAGACTTCCTACTTGGCCACATTCCCCAAATTCAGGTATAATAAATATTTTAAAACAACTTTTCCAGATGATGTAGAAAGACATGATTTTGAGTATATTGGCATTGGAGTAGACCTGACTAGTCTAAAAGAAGCCGATTTTCTTCTTTTTAGCTTGCTAGAACTGTCTATTTCTGCAAGCACTTATTTAATAAAAAGTTGTGAGAAAAAATCCCTTTCCAAAATGTTCAACATAATTTCATAAGAATTAAAACAAGGACTAAAAAATGTCCCAGTAGGTGTTTTGGAGTCAGTCAGTAAACCCAGTCAACCGACTAACCAGCCAACTAAAAACAAAACAAAAAAGGAAGCTCAAGACTTGACTTGAACTTTCTAAGAAAATGCAGAAGCAGAATTACAACATTTTCAGAGCTGAAATGTGAGAATTTTCTAATGATTACTTCTCTTAAGAAGGAAGAAGAAAATCATACACACCTTTGCAAATCAACATAGAGACTACAGTCAGCAATATTAATGAACACAGAAAAGCCTTCTGTCTAACAATGGCAGCTTCATATCATAAAAAAATTTTCATTAAAGCTTTCAAAAAATTATTTATGGAGCAGTAACTTGGGGTTTAAAACACATCAATGTTTCACCATGATTCTGTCTTGAGTAAAAACTCCACAGTATTCCTGTTTGCTTTACAATTGCTCTGCACAAAGACATGGACTACTGCATACACCAGGATAAACACATACAACTGTGTCAGATAGAAAAGGAGCCAAAGAAAGAAAATATTAAAGTACTGTTTCTTCTGGTATCCTTGGAGAAGCTGTGGTGGCAACAATGCTTGTTGTTTCCTGTCTGAAGAAATATTACATATATGGGAACCAGATCTCTAAATATTTACACTGCAAAGACCGTGTTCTTTTGTGTTAACATGAGTGGTAAGATTTTAAAGTTGATTTTAAATGGTAAGATTTTAAAGATTTTTAAGAGTTCATCCAGACACTCTCCCTACCTGGCAGCAAGGGCTGCATCAAGCCCATCTGTGTTTGCTCATTCAGGAGGCATGTATATAGGATATGAAATCCAAGGGGAATTCCTCCATACTGGCAACCCTCCAGTAATCTTCAGTCTCCAGCTGAGGTAATGACGGGACTGGAAGATCGCCTGCCCTGTAGTCATGAGCAAGGGCATGAGCAAGTCATTGTAACCAAGGTGCTGGATCCATGCAGTGATGACACAAGGACCTCTGGTTCCAGCTCATTGATGGATACAGTTCATTAAAAAACAGCAGGTGGACTTGTGTGGACTATTGGGCAATTTCACTTACTGTCCAAAGCTGAAGGTGGTCAATTGTTTTGTGGCTGTATTTTTGAAATATTTAGTGTTTTGTAAATGAGCTATATGATGAAATTTCTTTTCTCACTTTGAACAAAAACTGAGTAACACAATTCATAACAATTATCAATTTCAATGGTTTATGTTTAATTTCATAAACCTTAATGGATGTGAAAAGGAATGAAAGTCTTTGAGAATCCCATTTTCACAATTAGACTAAGGCTTACAAAAAATGAAGAAAAGTGCAAGGATATACCTGATGAAAATGAATAACCAAAGAAAAACAGGTGTAATGGAAATGTTTGCATTTAAAAACAGCATTAAAAACCTATTTTCAAACATGCCACTTCAGATGTGCTTTGTTTAGTCGAGACCATCACTTGGATCATTAACTAAACAGTGACCACACTATGCAGATAAGTTAAAACTCATTTATGTTTCTTTCCTTTTTTCAGTATCTCTTGTCTAAGAAGAGAACTATATGGGCCCAATTTAAAGAACTGCTTCACATGCTGTAATGAGAAGTTTATAGCCCAAAAGACTAGTAACTACTCAAAATTAATATAAGTTAGTGTGGGCAAAAGCAAACATTTAACCAATGACAATACTACTGCTTTCTTTTTCAGGCTTGTTGATGTCTATTATGTGCATGCAACATTTATAGCTCAACCCTTTCTGAGTTACTTTTCCACACATTTTAAAGGTCAGAAACAGATTCATCTGTATCACACTGCTTTAAATGTAGTTGGACTTTGTTCAAACATTCAAAAAATCATCTCTGAGCTGCAACTAATCATAGAAGACTTAATTCCTCAAGGAAATTGTTCTGGGAAAGTTATAAGCAGACATAACAGGAATTTATAATGGAAGTTGGCCTGCAACCTCAGGCTCATCTCAAAAATATTTACACATCTGAGTATCTCATTAAAGACATATATAAAGCCTCAGTGCTGCACCAAGCATCAGGACAGATTGTGGGCAGCTTTGTGATGCTTTCCTGAAATTTGTGAGAGTTACACAAAGGCACCTTCCCACAGGGAACTCACGTTCATGTAGCATGGTTTTCAAGCTGTTCTGATTATCAGTTTTAAAAAGCAACATAGTCTAGCTCTCAGAAAAGGCAGAATCTTATTTAATTACATGTCAATCTTTTCATAGTGTCTGTATGCAGGCAGTGTCCTGGAGCCATGGAAGGAGCAAGAGTTGCAAGTCTATATTTCAGGTACCTGGAGATCTGAGCTGAATGTCTGCATTCCATACATAAAAGGAATTAAGCTGCAAAAGGCGTGATTTTCTCAAATCCACCCTGTGCCCACACCAAGTGAGAAGTAGGTAAGCTAGGTTAACAGGGAGAGGCAAAATGGGAAAGTGAAATTCAGGTATAGGTACCAAATGCTCCCACTGTGTGTGACCTTTAACCCTCACCCTTTTTACAAAATGGAGCTAGATAAACAGCTTTTTTATTACCTCAGTGATTAAACACCACACACCAAACATGGGAGACTCAAATCTCTTCTCTGCCTGAAGGAACTAACATTTACATCTCCCGTAAGAACTCTCTAATGACTCAGCTAAATGATATAATACCTTGGACTCTCACAACTCTTCTCCCATTATAGCCCTAATACTCTTCATGATGTGCTTACATATGCACTGCAGCAAACACCAAGCCCTGATCTTTTTCTCCTGTACCTTGCTGACTGTCCTAACCAGTGAGCTTCACAGTTTAGAGAATCAGCCTGAGGCAGTCATATCCTCTGAGCATTTTACCGACCCATGCAAACCAGACAGTTCAAAGCGGTGATTTGAGACCTCCACTAGCTCAAGGATGTGTGTTTGGAGACAAGGGTGTGCTGCCAGGAGGTGAGATCATGAGCAGCTTTCTGGGCACTGGTGCACACCAGGCTGCTGGAGAAAAACGGGGAGAGAGCATAAACTTGCACCCCTCTGTAAGAAGGTGGGATACCCAACTAATTTTGCTCTGAAAGAGCCCCTGGAGAGGGTCTTGTTGATGGGACAGGTGCCGTAACGCTGATGGTGAGAATGCTGCGTTTGTGCAGCCATGAGATAACCTGCCTACCTGCTGGGCAGCTGCGTGTGTGCGCCAACAGCTGCAAGGGCATGAAGGAAAATCTGGCAATGAGAAGCAGCTCAGTTTGTGACCAGGGAGACCTGGAAAAGCCCTCCCATGGCGGGTGCATCAAGCTTTGCCATTTGGCTCGCCCCACGCGGTCTCTTGCCCTGTGGGATGCTGGCACTGAAACTGTGGGAAGGTCGATAGATTTCACCTCAATTCTATTTAGCAACTTGGAAATACCTTTGAACAGCACCATTTTTAGAGCAGCTCTCAGCTGCTTCTCACTCACACGTGTCCCTTGTGAATGCAGATGAACGATTTCACCTGACCCGCCGGGCGTCGTTGCCGCCGCCACCGGGACCACATCTCCTGCCCTGCCAGCTGCTGGGCGCAGGCAGCGCCGGAGGGTCGGTGATGCGCAGCGGCCATTTCGGGGCGTGAAGAGTCACCCGCCGCGACCCCCGTCGGGGGACGGGGAAACACAAAGGGGAAGACAGCTTCCGAGGGAGGCACCCCCGCTTTCCCCATGCGCGGGGGGAAGGAAGGGGCAGGAATATTCTGGACCGAGGGAGGGGAGGAAGGAGAAGGTGATGAATAACTTGAATAAATCTGCGACGGAGCTGAAGCGAGGGGGAGGGAGGCGGCAGCAGGTCATGTGAGGCACAGTCATGCTGCGGGCCCGAAGGAGAGGCAAAGAGGGGCGGCCGGGGGAAAGGAAAGAAGGACGGAAGTAGGTAGGGAGGAAGAACTGCGCCCGCCCGGCGCCCCCTACCCATCCCGGAGTGCCGCCACGCGGGGATAAACCGCACCCCCCGCCCTCCCTCCACGGGCTCGGCGCCGCTCGGCAATTTCCGCCACGCGAACCGAACCTATTTCCGCCGGCCTCGGCCAGACGGGCTTTATGTCTGCCAGCGGGGCGCGCATGCGCGGCGGCAGCCGCCATCTTACGTTGTCTCTCGGCCGCCCTCCCCTTTAGCGAGCATTCCCCTCCCCCCGCAGCCCGCGCAGCGCCCTCCTCCAGCGCTCCGTGAGGAGACGGGGCCGGGCGGGGGATAGACCCGGCGGCAGGGCGGCCGCGACCGACCCGTGGGCAAGAAAGGACGGGGCAGGCGCACACGCGGGAGGAGGACTGTTCCCAGGCGCGGTGCTGCGGAGGAAGAGCGGGTGCCGCCTGTTATAAAGGGGGAGGAGACGGAGGGGGAAGGAAGAGCGTGCGGAGCGGAGCCTTCTCCAGAGACAGCCAGACACAGAGGGAGGAGAGAGAGAGGCTGCCTGGCTGGCTCCCCCTTCCTCCCTCCCTCCTTTTGATGGACTCTCTTGTCGGGCTGCTGCTGCTTTGCTTTTCTCCTTATTCCGTCTTTTTAATACCCAAAATGATTCAGCTCCATGGCTGCTACTGACGGGGATGTCCCTGCCCGGCTCAGCCTGCCGCTGCCGCTCTCCTGTGCGCCAGTCCTGTACGTATCTGCGCTCTTCTACTACTACTACTACAGCAGTGATGGCGAGGAGCGCCGTCCGCCCCGTTGGGCTGCCCTGAGGGCCTGCCGGCTGCCTTCACCCCGCCGAAGAGAAAGAGGCGGCGGCCCGGTGGCGCCCGCCGCGGGGAGGGCGGTTCTGCCGGCTGCCGGCGAGCCGCGGGGAGGAAGGGGCTCGCCCCCAGGGCCACCGGTATTTCCTCCGGCCCCTGCCCACCCCCGGGAGAGGCGCAGTCGGTGGGCGGGGGGGGTGAGAGGGAGAAAGAAAGTGAATGGCGGAGGATTGAAAGTGTCACATTCAGAGGCGCTAATCTATAGGCGGCGGAGGACCGGTCCTCGCCCCCTCTCTGTCTCTGAGGGGAGGAGGAGGGGAGGGGGTGGTTAGCGGCGGTGCCGAGGCGCCTCAGCCCATGCTCTGCGGGAGCCGGGGGGGGTTTGTGCGTGGTTTCTCTCTGCCCTGCCGTGAGCGCAAAGCTAACTGCGTGTGTGTGTGTGTGTGTATGTGTGTCTGTCTCTCTCCATACCGGGGGATTGCACTCTTAAAATACACCCGATACAATGCACCAGCCTGACTCAGCCGCAGACATTAGTGCTAGGAAGATGGCGCACCCGGCAATGTTTCCTAGAAGGGGTAGCAGCAGTAGCAGCGGCAGCAGCTGCGTTACGGCTCCCACTGCATCAGGTACCGGCGTTGGGAGCGCTGCCCTTTCTGCCGAGGATTATCAGCCACCTTTGCTGGTCCAGCCGCCGCCTCCGTCTCCTGCAGCATCTTCATCAGCGGGTCCACAGCCGACACCCCCTCCTCCACAAAGCCTGAACCTCCTCTCGCAGTCTCAGCTCCAGCCACAGCCTCTTACACAGACCGGAGCTCAAATGAAAAAGAAAAGTGGCTTCCAAATCACCAGTGTGACCCCTGCTCAAATATCAGCTAGTATGAGCTCTAATAACAGCATAGCTGAGGATACAGAAAGCTACGATGATCTGGATGAGTCCCACACTGAAGATCTGTCATCTTCGGAAATCTTGGATGTTTCTTTATCCAGGGCCACTGACTTGGGAGAACCTGAGAGGAGCTCCTCTGAAGAGACTTTAAATAACTTCCAAGAGGCAGAGACTCCTGGAGCTGTTTCTCCAAACCAGCCTCATCTTCCTCAGCAGCATGCTCCTCTGCCTCATCACCCACAGCAGAGTGTTGTGATCAATGGAAGTGTTCACCCCCATCATGTTCATCACCATCACCATCTTCACCACCACCATCATGGACACCACCATCCGTCGCATCCTGGGGTGGGCAGTGCCCCAGTTTCTGGAGGACCACCGCCCAGTCCATCATTTAGAAAACTGTCAACAACTGGAAGCTCTGACAATGTTATATCAATTGCACCAGTTTCTGCTGCATCATCCACTGGTTCCCCGGCATCTGTCGTGTCTAATATCCGCACTACAAGTACTCCTGGCAATTTAGGTGTAAGTCCTGCTACCGGAACTAGTACCTTAAATAATATGGGTAGTGGTAGTTCTAGTGTGGCTAGTGGCGTGATTGGTACTATAAACTTGAGCAACATCACAAGTACTGCTAATGTAAATGCTTTGTCTGGAACTGGCAGCAATGTTAATGTGAATATCTTGAGTGGTGTTGGCAATGGTACGAGTGCTTCCTCTAGTGTCATTAACAATGTTACTAATCCAACTGCAGGAATGGCAGTTGGATCAAGCCAGCAGCAGCCTGCATCTGGCACATCAAGGTTTAGGGTTGTAAAATTAGATTCTAGTTCTGAACCTTTCAAAAAAGGTAGATGGACATGCACTGAATTCTATGATAAAGAAAACACCGTTGCAGTTTCAGAAGGAGTAGCAGTAAACAAAGCAGTAGAGACAATAAAACAAAACCCGCTTGAAGTGACTTCTGAAAGGGAGAGCACCAGTGGGAGTTCTGTTAGCAGCAATGTAAGCACACTGAGTCACTATACAGAAAGTGTGGGAAGTGGAGAAATGGGAGCACCTCCTGTGGTACAGCAGCAAGCATTTCAAGGTGTGGGTCCGCAGCAGATGGATTTTAGCAGTGCTGCTCCTCCGGCAATTCCAGCATCAAGTATACCACAGAGTGTTTCTCAATCACAGCTTGCACAAGTCCAGCTGCATTCTCAAGAAGTAAACTATCCACAGCAGAAGCCAGGGGTCCAGCCTCCTGCACAGGCCAGTCTAACCACTGTTACTGGGGTTCAGCCAGCCCCAGTTAATATACTAGGTGTATCCCCATCTATGGGCCACCAGCAGCCTGGCATTCAAAGTATGGCTCAACAGCAGCTACCGTATTCTCAGCCGGCGCCACCTGTGCAGACTTTGCCAGTTGTGCAGCAGCAGCAGTTGCAGTATGGACAACAGCAGCAGCAGCAGCAGACAGTTCCTACACAGATGGCCACAGGTCATGTTAAGTCGATGAACCAAAACTCTGTGACAGGTTCTGTGCCAGACTACATTCAGCATCAGCAGATCCTTCAGACTCCAGCCCCTGCCATGCAGCCTAGTTCTACAGGAGTAGGAGCAGGGCAACCAGTTCCCGTTGCCCAGGCACAGGGCATGCAGCCTTCAGTACAAGCACATCCAGCTGCTGCCCCAGCTCAGCCTGTTGCACATGCTCCAGCAGCAATACCAGGCGTAGGTACCAGTGGTCAAATGCTGAATGTTGGGCAGCAAGGGAGTGTAGCTGCTGTGGTGCAACCACCATCTGCTGCAAACCAAATTCCACCTCCAGTTATGCCGTCAACGGCTGCTCCTCCATCTTCACAAGTAGTGCAGCCTGTGCAGACAGGAATAATGCAGCAGGGATTACAGGCTAGCGCTTCAGGCCTTCCTCAGCAAATGGTCATTGCTCAGCAGAGCACTTTGTTACCTGTACAGCCACAGGCACAAGGGGTGGAATCTGTCGTCCAAGGGATGACTGGCCAGCAGCTGCCTGCAGTTAGCCCTATACCTTCTGCTAGTACTGTTCCTGCACCAAGTCAAGCTGGTTCAGCTGTGCCTCCTGGCATACCTTCTGCTTCTATAGGTTTGGGACAGCCACAGAACATAACACAAGCTTCGTCTGTGCAGAATGGGAATTTGTCTCAAAGTGTTAGTCAGCCTCCCTTGATATCAACAAGTATAGGTATGCCAGTGGCACAGAGTGTGCCACAGCAGATGCCGGTAAGCTCTACACAGTTCCCCGCACAATCACTAGTTCAGCCCGTTGTAAGCCAAATTGAAGATGGCAGACGCCCTACAGAACCTTCCTTGGTGGGTTTACCTCAAGCTGCCAGTGGTGAGAGTGGTGTTGGAGCATCAGCCGCTTCGGATGGTGGTAGCAGCAACGTGCCATCCTCCGCTTCCCTCTTTCCACTGAAGGTGCTGCCATTGACAACACCTCTTGTAGATGGTGAGGATGAAAGGTAAGACTGCTTGTAACTTTATTAAAGATAGATTGCCTGATAGTTTGTTTTGTACTAACTTTCAGGTCTTGTTACAGCCATTCTGTGAAATGAAGCAGTGTGATGTTTGTGTCTAATTAGAAATATTATTTCTCAGGTCCCAGCGCATGTCGGTATTATATTAAAAGACTTGTTTTTTCTCTTGAGGGGGTGGGTTGTATTGATTATGCTCTGAAACTACTGCGTGGGTAAATTGTGTTTAACAATCTGTGACAGTGTGTGTCTTCCCATTGTATAGAGGAAGACAAAAGAATACTGTGGAATGTGGGTATGATAGTAGTGATTGTAGTTTAGATTGTTTATTATATTGAAATAATATTTATTCTTAGGGTTTTGTTTGTTTTTTTTTTTTTTTTTACAAGCCTGGACTTCATCCTGCTTCGGCTTCTCTTTTTCAAGTATTGCCTTTACTCAGGTTGAACCAGTTGTGAGCCTGTGGTGTATGTAGAAGCCTTCTCTTTGACAGCCAAGCGACGCTTTAGGCAAATGAGTATGGTGGGAAAAGGGAGGTTCAGCCACACTGTTGTGGCTCTTTAAATTGAACTTGGGGCACTTTTGGTCTTGGTGGTTTTGCTTCAAAGTATTCACCCATTGTGAGAGCTGCTCAGGCCTGTGGAGGAGTGGTGAGTCTTTGGTGCACTGGTTCTCTGCAGTCATAGTAAGAAACTGCACATGTTCTCCCACTTGCAGTTTTTCAGATAAATGGCTATTGGCTGGTCCTAGTAAGTAGTATGTGCATGTGAATAGTCTTTATTTCTTTGACAGTGTTTGCAGAGAAGCTATGTCAGCTGTGAAAGGTCCTTGCATGTGCAGGCTGAAGTGATCTGAACGGTGGTTCTAGAGTGCGATTCTTTGGTATTAATTATGTGTGGAAGTTCTTTGCTGTATTGAGGATCTCTTGTGACTCACATTTACAAATGGACAGCAGTACTGTGGTGGAGGAAAAGGTGATAGCAGTGGGAGGTGAAGTGTTTCTTAATGCTATATGTTAAATCAGGGGTGACCAAATTTTATTAAAAAAAACCAAACCAAAACAGGTGGCTGGAAGAGGCTTGATTCTTACTGTTGAAAATACTAATTCTATCAGCAGTCTCTGATTATGTTGATCATGAGGTGTTGACTGCCTTAGTGGCTTTCATCATGTCTTTCTGAGATGCCAGAGAGCTATAATGAGTAGCAGCTTGTCTTCCAGAAGTGCTAGAAGACAAGTCCCAACACAGTTTCATTCTGATTGTTTTTTAGTCAATAAGTACATGAAGGTGGTAGAAGACAGATTGAGGTGTTAAAGCCCACAGTATCACCAGTATGCTACTAGCAGTGAATTTTTTCAAATGTTTTTTCATTTTCCTTCCTTTGATCTTTCTACAGCAGGACATTAATTCTGCTCTTCATGTGTCCAGTTTGTGTTTGGTGGTGTTTTGTGTGTTGCTGTTTTTTTCTAACCAAGCATCCAACCAAAGCTCCTTAAGCTTTCAGGGTTGAGTAAGAGGATCATAAGCTCATTGATACTCATTGTTTTGGAAGATGACATCTAGCATGTGACTGTACCCTGATTTTAAGAGCATATGTTAGCTGTTTGTCATGATTGGTAGTTTTTCCAGAATACTTAAATCCCGAAGGGTAACAATAGCCAGAAATACCTTCTTCCTCTGTTATTTAGCTAGCCAAAGATCATATCCTTTCTTCTCTTATGCACGTTGTGTCTTTGTTCAATCTGTCATCTCCAGGTAGACTACACTTTTGTTTAGCTGCTGTTGGAAAATCATTTAGATTCTTTACACAGAGCAGGATATGACTCTATTAAATGTAGACTAAAAATAATTGTGGGTTTTTTGCATGGCAGTAGTGGTCAGGTCACTTGCACACAATCAGATAATTTACAGCAGCAGTCCTCCCTGTATATGTGTAACATTAAAAACTTGGTGCCATTGCTTCTGTTTCCTGTTCCATGGGATGACAGGGCGAGGTATTAACTATATTGTGATCTTGACTGGAATTTGTTTTGGTTGGGAGCTTAGACCTCATTGCTCATGAAAGGTAGTGCAAGCTACGCTGTTCTGCTTGGCCTCTAGTTTCTCTGGCCACTGGATTTCTCTAACTGGAGTTCTCTAGAAATTTTTTTCTTTGTTAGATTATTCCCTCTTCTACAGGAGATAAAGAGTAGTGTATTGTTAAAGTACATGAACATTTAAGAAGCAGGTATACTGTAAACATTTAGAATCCTAATTTCTCTGTCTCATGTGCATACACATATATACATCACTGAAGATTTATATCAATACATCCCCAGTGATTATAAACCTGGCAAGGGAGAAGGTAGAAGAAGTAAGTGATGACATAAATGGGCCAGTGAAGAAGCTGTGAAATTCCATATAGTGTGCCTTTGAAAAAACAGCTGACCCATGTGATGCCTTGTTTAGATTAACTCCCAGCTTTCCTTAAACCTGTATATAATTGTGTTTAAAGATGTGCCAGTATCTTTAAGACTTTAGCCCTGTTCAGTTTTTTGAACACCATTTGCAGCTCTTTCTATGCCTGTTATCAGGGCATATCAGCCTTTTAAATATGGGCAGTGTGGCGTGTATCCTCTTTGAAAGCTGTAACCTTTATTTCCCCTGTATGAATGATACCTTTAATATCTCTGTATTTCAAGTTATGGTAAAGATTAACAAAAAAGGAGCTGCTTGGCAGAATGCTGTATGGAAAATTAATACAAACTTTATTAAAGGGAGGATACAAATAGTACTGTTAGTTTCTGTATTTAAAAAACAAAGCATTCAACCCAACAAAAAATCAAATGCAAAGAAAACCACCACCCCTAGTTCTCCTGACTAGTCTGTCGTCGGCTTGTGTGGTATGACATAAATATTTGTATGTTTGTGGATTCATCCTCTTCTAATATTTCCATCTGCAAAAATGTAGGTCACTTTCTATTTTGTTAGCTTGAATCATGGTATGGGCTCATTTTAGTGAGTGATTTTCATATAGTTTCTTGGTTTTGCATTAGCTACCTTGATTTATTAGTTCAGTTATTAAATCCTGTCAGTTTTAGATACGGTCTTTTGAGCTTAGTATTTCATCTCTAGAAATGTAGAAAAGGATTTTTTTTTTTTTTATGCTTTTGAAACTTAAGTATGGGGTAATACTTACATTGCAGTGAATCCTTTCATATATTTATAGTTATTCAAAATCAGTTTTATACCTCTCCTTGACTATACTTTATTGGCTTTGGATACTTGCAGTATGATTTTGTACAGACTTGTATAAGTCTTAAATTACCTGTGAGGTAAAATCTTAAAAAAAAAAATATGTATTTTGCAGCATTTATAAAGGCTGCTCTAACTGAATTATTTTAACTTAATTTCAAATGTTGTTTACCATTACTCAAAAGCAGTTTTTGTGAATGAAGGATAAGAGAGCTAATAACCGCCTCCCTGTCCTTGACAGCATTTTCCATGGAGTTGCTTTCATTCTTTAGTCTGATGCAAGCTTTTTTTTTTTTTTTACTTGTTTGTGCATTTCATCTAACAGTGAAGCAAAAAAACAGAAAGGAAGAAAAGGTGATGATGATAAACACAGAAATTGTCATAGAGATATTCTTTATTATCTGACAATCTCACAATTTTATTTTTCAAGAGAAATTTTTATTAGAAGATCCCTTTACAGGTAGATGAAGGAAGAGTGGAGGGAGTGTTTTCTGTATAGGATGTATATTTTAGCTTGTTACTAAGTCTGTGGAAAGGCTGGAAGACTAAAGCTGAATGTGAGAATTGAAAGACTTGTGAACAGCCTTTGAAAATCTAGTAGTAGTAACTAGTAGTTTTCTAACTTGTAAAGCAAGAATACAGTCAGGAAACTGGATCAATTTTCATCATGTATGTGAGTAGTAGGAGAGGTGAACAGATGCAGATGAGATTTTTACAGCTGTAACAGTGCTTTCCGAAGATGTTAATAAAACGTGGCAAATGTATTTAAGTAGAACTGGAAATTTCAGTTGAATGTTATTTTTGATGTACTATTTTTTCCCCCCCAAGCTGTTTCAGAGTTTATATGGGCTTTTGGTTTTCTGTAGGTTTTGCTTCTATATGTATGATGAAAAAGGGAGATACTTCTAGAAGGTACTTCAAAACAAAGGATTTATGGTGGCTTAGCATAGATAGTGGTGTTTCTGGACTTGCATCCTAGGGGCAGTGTTGCTGTTCTCCATTTTTCAGATTTTAAACTTGCTTCAGAGTTGTGCCACCAATTTGAAAATTGCATAAGTTGAGTTAAAAAAGTCTCTTCATATATCTTCAATTTGGCTATTTATGGCAGCTGAAAACATAGTTACCCTCAGTAATGACAAGTCACATGAATAAAAAGAGCACTTTGGCAAATAAAATGTGGTTGCTGTTGTGTCATGCTGAGAAGTCCAGCTTCTGATTTCATCTGATGAAATAAAATACCCGCTGTTGGTGGAATCAACTTGCAGCTCTCTGCTCCAAGTAAAGAACAATATAGAATTTAGAGCCTGTACCTTGTGTATCTGCTGACCCAGTGTAGGTGCCAATAACTGTTTGAATGGACCTTTTTCTGATGTCTTTTATAGATGTGTTCTCTGCATGCCATGGTGTACCTTGAACTAAGGATTGCTACACTGCTTGTATTGCATTTTTTTTTAAAGACAGGAAGAATTCAGATTTCAGGGGGTTATAAAAGCAGTAATTTAGCACTTAAGGCAGATTGTTGGAGATGCTGAGAAATGTTTCCCTCTAGCTGATAACGTTATTTTCAGAAAATGTTCCTTGGCACTATAGGCTCTGGCTGCTCTTGGGAAATGGTCAGTGTGTAAGCAGACTAAATCATCTATGTATGTGTATGTAAAAACAAAAGGTTTAAAAATATTTCATGTTGAAAAGCAATCTTTGTTACCATTTTAAGATTTGCATTCTTTACAGGCTAATCTGGAAATCAGAATTATC